ATGCACAAAAACGTTCAAACTCGCCAAAACAAACACTTTTCATAACAACAAGCCAAACTCATCAAAAGAACACTAAAACAACAGCTTAACGCATTCATGCCATTACACATGCTCAAAAACCTTCAAACTCGCCAAAACGAACAATGTTCATAACAACAAGCCAAAGTCATCATATGAACACTAAAACAACAGCTTAACGCATTCATGCCATTACACATGCTCAAAAACGTTCAAACTCGCCAAAACAAACACTTTTCACAACAACAAGCCAAACTCATCAAAAGAACACTAAAACAACAGCTTAACGGATTCATGCCATTACACATGCACAAAAACGTTCATACTCGCCAAAACAAACACTTTTCATAACAACAAGCCAAACTCATCAAAAGAACACTAAAACAACAGCTTAACGCATTCATGCCATTACACATGCTAAAAAAAACCTTCAAACTGGCCAAAACGAACAATGTTCATAACAACAAGCCAAACTCATCAAAAGAACACTAAAACAACAGCTTAGCACAAGGGATTACTAATTCAACACATTCATGCCATTACACATGCTCAAAAACCTTCAAACTGGCCAAAACGAACAATGTTCATAACAACAAGCCAAACTCATCATAAGAACACTAAAACAACAGCTTAACGCATTCATGCCATTACACATGCTCAAAAACGTTCAAACTCGCCAAAACAAACACTTTTCATAACAACAAGCCAAACTCATCAAAAGAACACTAAAACAACAGCTTAACGCATTCATGCCATTACACATGCTCAAAAACGTTCAAACTCGCCAAAACAAACACTTTTCATAACAACAAGCCAAACTCATCAAAAGAACACTAAAACAACAGCTTAACGGATTCATGCCATTACACATGCACAAAAACGTTCAAACTGGCCAAAACGAACAATGTTCATAACAACAAGCCAAACTCATCATAAGAACACTAAAACAACAGCTTAACGCATTCATGCCATTACACATGCTCAAAAACGTTCAAACTCGCCAAAACACACACTTTTCATAACAACAAGCCAAACTCATCAAAAGAACACTAAAACAACGGCTTAACACATGGGATTACTAATTCAACACATTAACGCCATTACACATGCTCAAAAACGTTCAAACTGGCCAAAACGAACAATCTTCATAACAACAAGCCACACTCGTCAAAAGAACACTAAAACAACAGCTTAACGCATTCATGCCATTACACATGCTAAAAAACCTTCAAACTGGCCAAAACGAACAATGTTCATAACAACAAGCCAAACTCATCAAAAGAACACTAAAACAACAGCTTAACGCATTCATGCCATTACACATGCTCAAAAACCTTCAAACTGGCCAAAACGAACAATGTTCATAACAACAAGCCAAACTCATCAAAAGAACACTAAAACAACAGCTTAACGCATTCATGCCATTACACATGCTCAAAAACTTTCAAACTCGCCAAAACAAACACTTTTCATAACAAGCCAAACTCATCAAAAGAATACTAAAACAACAGCTTAACACAAGGGATTACTAATTCAACACATTCATGCCATTACACATGCTCAAAAACGTTCAAACTGGCCAAAACGAACAATGTTCATAACAACAAGCCAAACTCATCAAAAGAACACTAAAACAACAGCTTAACGCATTCATGCCATTACACATGCTCAAAAACGTTCAAACTCGCCAAAACAAACACTTTTCATAACAACAAGCCAAACTCATCAAAAGAACACTAAAACAACAGCTTAACGGATTCATGCCATTACACATGCACAAAAACGTTCAAACTGGCCAAAACGAACAATGTTCATAACAACAAGCCAAACTCATCAAAAGAACACTAAAACAACAGCTTAACGCATTCATGCCATTACACATGCTCAAAAACCTTCAAACTGGCCAAAACGAACAATGTTCATAACAACAAGCCAAACTCATCAAAAGAACACTAAAACAACAGCTTAACGCATTCATGCCATTACACATGCTCAAAAACCTTCAAACTGGCCAAAACGAACAATGTTCATAACAACAAGCCAAACTCATCAAAAGAACACTAAAACAACAGCTTAACGCATTCATGCCATTACACATGCTCAAAAACGTTCAAACTCGCCAAAACAAACACTTTTCATAACAACAAGCCAAACTCATCAAAAGAATACTAAAACAACAGCTTAACACAAGGGATTACTAATTCAACACATTCATGCCATTACACATGCTCAAAAACGTTCAAACTGGCCAAAACGAACAATGTTCATAACAACAAGCCAAACTCATCAAACGAACACTAAAACAACAGCTTAACGCATTCATGCCATTACACATGCTCAAAAACGTTCAAACTCGCCAAAACAAACACTTTTCATAACAACAAGCCAAACTCATCAAAAGAACACTAAAACAACAGCTTAACGCATTCATGCCATTACACATGCTCAAAAACCTTCAAACTGGCCAAAACGAACAATGTTCAAAACAACAAGCCAAACTCATCAAAAGAACACTAAAACAACAGCTTAACGCATTCATGCCATTACACATGCTCAAAAAACGTTCAAACTCGCCAAAACAAACACTTTTCATAACAACAAGCCAAACTCATCAAAAGAACACTAAAACAACAGCTTAACACAAGGGATTACTAATTCAACACATTCATGCCATTACACATGCTAAAAAACCTTCAAACTGGCCAAAACGAACAATGTTCATAACAACAAGCCAAACTCATCATAAGAACACTAAAACAACAGCTTAACGCATTCATGCCATTACACATGCTAAAAAACCTTCAAACTGGCCAAAACGAACACTTTTCATAACAACAAGCCAAACTCATCAAAAGAACACTAAAACAACAGCTTAACGCATTCATGCCATTACACATGCTCAAAAACGTTCAAACTCGCCAAAACAAACACTTTTCATAACAACAAGCCAAACTCATCAAAAGAACACTAAAACAACGGCTTAACACAAGGGATTACTAATTCAACACATTCATGCCATTACACATGCTCAAAAACCTTCAAACTGGCCAAAACGAACAATGTTCATAACAACAAGCCAAACTCATCAAAAGAACACTAAAACAACAGCTTAACGCATTCATGCCATTACACATGCTCAAAAACGTTCAAATTCGCCAAAACAAACACTTTTCATAACAACAAGCCGTACTCATCAAAAGAACACTAAAACAACAGCTAAACACAAGGGATTACTAATTCAACACATTCATGCCATAACTCATGCTCAAAAACCTTCAAACTCTCTAAAATAAACAATGTGCATAACAACAAGCCAAAGTCATCAAAATAACACTAAAACAACAGCTTAACGGATTCATGCCATTACACATGCACAAAAACGTTCAAACTCGCCAAAACAAACACTTTTCATAACAACAAGCCAAACTCATCAAAAGAACACTAAAACAACAGCTTAACACAAGGGATTACTAATTCAACACATTCATGCCATTACACATGCTCAAAAACGTTCAAACTGGCCAAAAAGAACAATGTTCATAACAACAAGCCAAACTCATCATAAGAACACTAAAACAACAGCTTAACGCATTCATGCCATTACACATGCTCAAAAACGTTAAAACTCGCCAAAACACACACTTTTCATAACAACAAGCCAAACTCATCAAAAGAACACTAAAACAACGGCTTAACACATGGGATTACTAATTCAACACATTAACGCCATTACACATGCTCAAAAACGTTCAAACTGGCCAAAACGAACAATCTTCATAACAACAAGCCACACTCGTCAAAAGAACACTAAAACAACAGCTTAACGCATTCATGCCATTACACATGCTAAAAAACCTTCAAACTGGCCAAAACGAACAATGTTCATAACAACAAGCCAAACTCATCAAAAGAACACTAAAACAACAGCTTAACGCATTCATGCCATTACACATGCTCAAAAACCTTCAAACTGGCCAAAACGAACAATGTTCATAACAACAAGCCAAACTCATCAAAAGAACACTAAAACAACAGCTTAACGCATTCATGCCATTACACATGCTCAAAAACGTTCAAACTCGCCAAAACAAACACTTTTCATAACAACAAGCCAAACTCATCAAAAGAATACTAAAACAACAGCTTAACACAAGGGATTACTAATTCAACACATTCATGCCATTACACATGCTCAAAAACGTTCAAACTGGCCAAAACGAACAATGTTCATAACAACAAGCCAAACTCATCAAACAAACACTAAAACAACAGCTTAACGCATTCATGCCATTACACATGCTCAAAAACGTTCAAACTCGCCAAAACAAACACTTTTCATAACAACAAGCCAAACTCATCAAAAGAACACTAAAACAACAGCTTAACGCATTCATGCCATTACACACGCTCAAAAACCTTCAAACTGGCCAAAACGAACAATGTTCAAAACAACAAGCCAAACTCATCAAAAGAACACTAAAACAACAGCTTAACGCATTCATGCCATTACACATGCTCATAAACGTTCAAACTGGCCAAAACGAACAATGTTCATAACAACAAGCCAAACTCATCAAAAGAACACTAAAACAACAGCTTAACACAAGGGATTACTAATTCAACACATTCATGCCATTACACATGCTCAAAATCGTTCAAACTGGCCAAAACGAACAATGTTCATAACAACAAGCCAAACTCATCATAAGAACACTAAAACAACAGCTTAACGCATTCATTTTTTTAATTTTTTTTTTTTATTATTATGGCAAGAATGTTTATTGATCTCTTACAATAAATAAGGCAGAAAATAAGCTTCAATATGTTTTCCTCAAATACTTTAAAGATAGAGGGAAATGGTTAACTTGACTGTAAAAAAAAAACAAATGCTAATTTTTCCCTTTTCACATAAAGAATTGACAAATTAATCATACTTGAGTGATAATGAGGCCGGGCACATTTTACCTACGGCAAAGGTTGGAGCTTTCACTGTAACATCTGTACCATATATGACTGTGGCGGTTTGTTTCTGAGCCTCATAAACATCAATGAAAGGAATCCAGTACAGCACATTTTGTGTGCGTGTGTGTGTGTGTAAGCAGAAGAAACTCCAGCTCAATGAGGCTCTTTAAACCTCACTTCCTGCTTTGATCTGCAGCTTCCTCGATTGCAGCCAGGTTGAAAGAGTCAGGAGGAAATTCACCAAGAGTGGACTGCAGTGGTTAAAAAATCTGCCCCATCTCAATGAGTGATTCACGAAGCAAACACCCACAAAGGTTTGCAGCTCTGTGCAGTTTGAACTAGTTTTGTGTCCAGTTGTGACTGAGATGAGCTGTCAGCATCACCACTTTCTGCTGCACAGAGCTGCATTGTGTATTCACATCCTGTCAGTGCTAGAATTTTTTAGTGGAGGTGGTTCATGACAGACATGATAGTACTTGCACAATTTGTATCCATCAGATTTCCTGGTGTATACTGGTAAAAAGCAGTTCATTTATATAAGTGTGAAGCAGTTCCTGGTATAAACCAGCAAAAGAACAAAACACTAAGCCAACAAATAAAATTTACATTTCTCAAGAAATTAATTAAATTCTGCCTAACGTTAGTATGTGTCTGTGGGAAATTGGTTGTTTTCCTGTGGGCCACATTTAATGGCTCCTTTTTTTTTTTTTTTTTTTTTTTTTTTTTTTTAAATTTTTTATTTGTGCAGTGTGACAATACAAGACATACAAAACAAACAATGGCATTTGTGGTTGTGTGTGTGTGTGTGTGTGTTTGTGTGTGTGCGTGTGTGTGTGGTGTGTGTAAATAATAATGAAAAAGAAAATAAAATAAAATAATAAATAAATATTACAATTGTCAGACAAGCAAAAAAAAAAAAAGAAAATTATACTACATCAACAATATCAATAATAATAATAATAACAACAATAATAGTAATAATAATAATAAGAAGAAGAAGGAATTTGTGGACCACTTTGGGTCCCTTCCCACTCGCACGAGACCCACCTGCATCCCTCCAGGCCCCCAGACTCCCACCCCAACCCCCGCATGCCCCGGACTGAATGCGGCACAACACCTTGCCCTATGTCTATATATGTATTTAGTCTTTGTTATTTACTTAATATACTTTATAATTATTTATTTATTTTTATTATTTATTTTTTTAAAAATTATTATTATTATTATTATTATTATTATTATTATTATTATTATTATTGTTATTATTTTATTTATTTATTTTTTTTTTTTTTCTTAATTTCTCTCATATATGTGCTTTCTAATGTTGTGCATTAAAACCAAGGAGAGGGGTTGTCCTGAACTATAATTTGATGAGATTGAGACCCCGTTCCTCTTCCTAATCTAGTGTGATGTGCAATAAAAGAGGTGATGTGCCATCTGAAGACAGTCCAGGGCGGAGAACTGGGGAAGGGGGAGGCCGGAAGGGCAAGGAGATCACAGGTCATTGTCTAACAGGCGCGACCCAGCAGGGACCCGAGCAGAAAATAACAACTGTAAATGTAAGTATATAAATAAATAAATAATAATAATAGAAAATGACAATGACAATAATATTCATCATAATATTTGTCGTAATATGTAGTAAGAAATAGAAAATAAAAATCAATAAACAATAATAATAATAAAAATAATAATGATAATGATAAAGATAATAATAAAGATAATAATAATAATAATAATAATAATAAATAGATAAGTAAATAAAATAAAAATAAAAAGTTGGGAATGAAAGTGTCAGAGAACAGAGATGGATGATGTTGTGACTGGTTTGTGGCAGATTATGAGCTTAGAAAAGTGATGAATGATAACCAGGTAGAGTTATGATTATTGTCAGAGGAGTTTGTATTTTCTAAGGAGATGTAGTCTATGAGCAGGTTTTTCCAGTGTATTATGAGTATGGAGTTCCGAGACTTCCAGTTCATGAGGATAGTTTTCCTGGCGACGGTTAGTGCCACTAGAAGTGAACGTGTGTGTGTGTTTTGTCAAGTTTTAATGGAGATAGGTCTCCTAATAAACAGACGGAAGGGGAAAGTGGGATGTGGCAGCCCATAATCTGGGATAATGTTTCTGTAATGTTTCTCCAGAAGTGGTGAACAGGTGTGCAGTGCCAGGTTGCATGAATATAGGTATCAGTGCAGTTTAGTGAGCAGTGTGAACAGTTTCCAGATGATGAGAAGCCCATTTTTTGCATTTTGTGTCCAGTCAGATGAGTTCTGTGAAGGATTTTGTATTGTATGAGTTGTAAATTAGCATTTTTCGTCATGGAGAAAAATGTTCTTGCAGATTTGGGGCCAGAATTCAGCATCAGGAGGGTATGGAGGGTGTTGAGTCGGCCTGTGATAATAATTTGTATAATTTAGATAGGATTTTCTTTGAGGAAGGGATGTTAATGAGTTTAGAGGGTAACGGGGGGAGGGGTCTAAGTTTATATTCTTGTTTTTCATTGATGATTGGATGGATGATGAAACTTCTGTAGATATTGTAGGAATTGATGGCTCCTGATGCCAAACTTCTGGACCAGGAGAGAGAATGGGACCAGGGTGTTATTATTGAAGATATGTTTGAGGTGAGTAATCCCTTTCTCTACCCAGGTGCTGAAGTATAGTGATTGTTTATTGCTGATGAAGTCCAGGTTGTGCCAGATCGGGGTGAAAAGCGATGGTGCCAGAGTGGAGTTAGTAATGCTGTAGAATTTCCACCAGGCTGTCAGGGCCGATGATATTGTGGGGTTTTGGAAACAGGGGTGTTTTTTGATAGTTTGACTGAGGAATGGTAGGTCTGAGAGATGGATGTCTTTGCTAACTGTTTGTTCTATGTCTAACCACGTGCTTTCTGACTGGGTGGGGTGGGTCCATTTGTAGATGTATTGAAGTTGATTTGCTAGTGAGTAATGATGAAAATTTGGAGCATTGAGTCCGCCTAAACTTTTTGATTTCTGAAGAGTGGCCAGTTTGACTCGTGGGGGTTTATTTTTCCAGTAAAATTTGTTGATGGATGAATCGAGGGAATGAAACCAGGTGAGAGGTGGATGAGTGGGAATCATTGAACAAAGGTAACTGATTTTGGGGAGGATTGTCATTTTAACTGTTGCTATTCTGCCTAATATAGATAATGGGAGGTTCATCCATCGTTGGAGATCATCATTGATTTTTTTTAGGAGTGGAGTGAAATTCAGGTTGATCAACTCTGACAGCCTGGGGGAAATGTGGATGCCTAAGTAGGTGATGTGACTTGTGCAGAAGGGGATGGGTGTTGTAAGGGCTGCCACAGCCAGACTGTTGGTGTTTAATGGGAGTATGGAGGATTTGTTCCAGTTTATTGAGTAGTCAGAGAGAAGGAGAAGGATTTGATGACACTGATTACTTCTTGTAGTGATGATTTTGGGTTAATCCATAAAAAGTAAAATGTCATCTGCATAGAGGCTGATTTTATGGTGCATGTTGGGGGTTTGGATTCCTGTAATGAGGGGGTTCTGACGGATGGCTGCTGCTAGGGGTTCAATGAAAATGGTGAAAAAAGAGGGAGAGAGTGGGCAACCTTGCCTGGTCCCCCTGTGAAGAGTGAAGCTTTGCATGAGGTTTGTCCGTTAGTAATAACTGTGGCTGTAGGTGAGGTGTAAAGTGTTTTAATCCAGTTAATAAATGATTCCCCAAAGCCGAAACTGTGTAGGGTGTGGATGAGGAATGACCAGTTAACTCTGTCAAAGGCTTTTTCTGCATCTAAGGTGGCTATGATTGAGTTATGGTTATGTGTGGTTGAGTGGTGCATTATATTGAATAGTCTGCGTGTGTTATTGGATGAGTTTCTTCCTTTAATAAATCCTGTTTGATCCGGGTGAATAATGGATGGAATAATTTTTTCTAATCGGTGGGAAAGTGCCTTGGTGATAATTTTAATGTCAACGTTGAGAAGTGAAATGGGGCGGTAACTTGAAGGTAGGGTGGAACTTAACGCATTCATGCCATTACACATGCTCAAAAACGTTCAAACTCGCCAAAACAAACACTTTTCATAACAACAAGCCAAACTCATCAAAAGAACACTAAAACAACAGCTTAACACAAGGGATTACTAATTCAACACATTCATGCCATTACACATGCTAAAAAACCTTCAAACTGGCCAAAACGAACAATGTTCATAACAACAAGCCAAACTCATCAAAAGAACACTAAAACAACAGCTTAACGCATTCATGCCATTACACATGCTAAAAAACCTTCAAACTGGCCAAAACGAACACTTTTCATAACAACAAGCCAAACTCATCAAAAGAACACTAAAACAACAGCTTAACACATTCATGCCATTACACATGCACAAAAACGTTCAAACTCGCCAAAACAAACACTTTTCATAACAACAAGCCAAACTCATCAAAAGAACACTAAAACAACAGCTTAACGCATTCATGCCATTACACATGCTCAAAAACCTTCAAACTCGCCAAAACGAACAATGTTCATAACAACAAGCCAAAGTCATCATAAGAACACTAAAACAACAGCTTAACGCATTCATGCCATTACACATGCTCAAAAACGTTCAAACTCGCCAAAACAAACACTTTTCACAACAACAAGCCAAACTCATCAAAAGAACACTAAAACAACAGCTTAACACAAGGGATTACTAATTCAACACATTCATGCCATTACACATGCTCAAAAACGTTCAAACTGGCCAAAACGAACATTGTTCATAACAACAAGCCAAACTCATCAAAAGAACACTAAAACAACAGCTTAACGCATTCATGCCATTACACATGCTAAAAAACCTTCAAACTGGCCAAAACAAACACTTTTCATAACAACAAGCCAAACTCATCAAAAGAACACTAAAACAACAGCTTAACGCATTCATGCCATTACACATGCTCAAAAACGTTCAAACTCGCCAAAACAAACACTTTTCATAACAACAAGCCAAACTCATCAAAAGAACACTAAAACAACAGCTTAACGCATTCATGCCATTACACATGCTCAAAAACGTTCAAACTGGCCAAAACAAACACTTTTCATAACAGCAAGCCAAACTCATCAAAAGAACACTAAAACAACAGCTTAACGCATTCATGCCATTACACATGCTCAAAAACGTTCAAACTCGCCAAAACAAACACTTTTCATAACAACAAGCCAAACTCATCAAAAGAACACTAAAACAACAGCTTAACGCATTCATGCCATTACACATGCTAAAAAACCTTCAAACTGGCCAAAACGAACAATGTTCATAACAACAAGCCAAACTCATCAAAAGAACACTAAAACAACAGCTTAACGCATTCATGCCATTACACATGCTCAAAAACCTTCAAACTGGCCAAAACGAACAATGTTCATAACAACAAGCCAAACTCATCAAAAGAACACTAACATTACACATGCTCAAAAACAAACTGGCCAAAACGAACAATTTTCATAACAACAAGCCAAACTCATCAAAAGAACACTAAAACAACGGCTTAACAAGGGATTACTAATTCAACACATTCATGCCATTACACATGCTCAAAAACCTTCAAACTGGCCAAAACGAACAATGTTCATAACAACAAGCCAAACTCATCAAAAGAACACTAAAACAACAGCTTAACGCATTCATGCCATTACACATGCTCAAAAACTTTCAAACTCGCCAAAATAAACACTTTTCATAACAACAAGCCAAACTCGCCAAAACAAACAATGTTCATAACAACAAGCCAAACTCATCAAAAGAACACTAAAACAACAGCTTAACGCATTCATGCCATTACACATGCTCAAAAACGTTCAAACTGGCCAAAACAAACACTTTTCACAACAACAAGCCAAACTCATCAAAAGAACACTAAAACAACAGCTTAACACAAGGGATTACTAATTCAACACATTCATGCCATTACACATGCTCAAAAACGTTCAAACTCGCCAAAACAAACACTTTTCATAACAACAAGCCAAACTCATCAAAAGAACACTAAAACAACAGCTTAACACAAGGGATTACTAATTCAACACATTCATGCCATTACACATGCTAAAAAACCTTCAAACTGGCCAAAACGAACAATGTTCATAACAACAAGCCAAACTCATCAAAAGAACACTAAAACAACAGCTTAACGCATTCATGCCATTACACATGCTCAAAAACCTTCAAACTGGCCAAAACGAACAATGTTCATAACAACAAGCCAAACTCATCAAAAGAACACTAAAACAACAGCTTAACGCATTCATGCCATTACACATGCTCAAAAACGTTCAAACTGGCCAAAACAAACACTTTTCATAACAACAAGCCAAACTCATCAAAAGAACACTAAAACAACAGCTTAACGCATTCATGCCATTACACATGCTCAAAAACGTTCAAACTCGCCAAAACAAACACTTTTCATAACAACAAGCCAAACTCATCAAAAGAACACTAAAACAACAGCTTAACACATTCATGCCATTACACATGCTCAAAAACGTTCAAACTGGCCAAAACGAACAATGTTCATAACAACAAGCCAAACTCATCAAAAGAACACTAAAACAACAGCTTAACGCATTCATGCCATTACACATGCTCAAAAACGTTCAAACTGGCCAAAACGAACAATGTTCATAACAACAAGCCAAACTCATCAAAAGAACACTAAAACAACAGCTTAACACAAGGGATTACTAATTCAACACATTCATGCCATTACACATGCTCAAAAACGTTCAAACTGGCCAAAACGAACAATGTTCATAACAACAAGCCAAACTCATCATAAGAACACTAAAACAACAGCTTAACGCATTCATTTTTTTAATTTTTTTTTTTTATTATTATGGCAAGAATGTTTATTGATCTCTTACAATAAATAAGGCAGAAAATAAAGCTTCTAAATATGTTTTCCTCAAATACTTTAAAGATAGAGGGAAATGGTTAACTTGACTGTAAAAAAAAAAAAACAAATGCTAATTTTTTCCTTTTCACATAAAGAATTGACAAATTAATCATACTTGAGTGATAATGAGGACGGGCACATTTTACCTACGGCAAAGGTTGGAGCTTTCTGTAACTTTTCACCATGAACATGGCCTGTACCATACCCCTCTGACTGTGGCGGTTTGTTTCTGAGCCTCATAAACATCAATGAAAGGAATCCAGTACAGCACATTTTGTGTGCGTGTGTGTGTGTGTAAGCAGAAGAAACTCCAGCTCAATGAGGCTCTTTAAACCTCACTTCCTGCTTTGATCTGCAGCTTCCTCGATTGCAGCCAGGTTGAAAGAGTCAGGAGGAAATTCACCAGAGTGGACTGCAGTGGTTAAAAAATCTGCCCCATCTCAATGAGTGATTCACAGAAGCAAACACCCACAAAGGTTTGCAGCTCTGTGCAGTTTGAACTAGTTTTGTGTCCAGTTGTGACTGAGATGAGCTGTCAGCATCACCACTTTCTGCTGCACAGAGCTGCATTGTGTATTCACATCCTGTCAGTGCTAGAATTTTTTAGTGGAGGTGGTTCATGACAGACATGATAGTACTTGCACAATTTGTATCCATCAGATTTCCTGGTGTATACTGGTAAAAAGCAGTTCATTTATATAAGTGTGAAGCAGTTCCTGGTATAAACCAGCAAAAGAACAAAACACTAAGCCAACAAATAAAATTTACATTTCTCAAGAAAGTAATTAATTCTGCCTAACGTTAGTATGTGTCTGTGGTAAATTGGTTGTTTTCCTGTGGGCCACATTTAATGGCTCCTTTTTTTTTTTTTTTTTTTATTTGTGCAGTGTGACAATACAAGACATACAAAACAAACAATGGCATTTGTGGTTGTGTGTGTGTGTGTGTGTGTTTGTGTGTGTGCGTGTGTGTGTGGTGTGTGTAAATAATAATGAAAAAAAAAATAAAAAAAAATAAATAAATATTACAATTGTCAGACAAGCAAAAAAAAAAAAGAAAATTATACTACATCAACAATATCAATAATAATAATAATAACAACAATAATAGTAATAATAATAATAATAAGAAGAAGGAATTTGTGGACCACTTTGGGTCCCTTCCCACTCGCACGAGACCCACCTGCATCCCTCCAGGCCCCCAGACTCCCACCCCAACCCCCGCATGCCCCGGACTGAATGCGGCACAACACCTTGCCCTATGTCTATATATGTATTTAGTCTTTGTTATTTACTTAATATACTTTATAATTATTTATTTATTTTTATTATTTATTTTTTTAAATTATTATTATTATTATTATTATTATTATTGTTATTATTTTATTTATTTTATTTTTTTTTTTTCTTAATTTCTCTCATATATGTGCTTTCTAATGTTGTGCATTAAAACCAAGGAGAGGGTTGTCCTGAACTATAATTTGATGAGATTGTAGACCCCGTTCCTCTTCCTAATCTAGTGTGATGTGCAATAAAAGAGGTGATGTGGCATAAGCCATCTAGTCTTAGTGCCAGAATTCTTTGAAGATTTCTCATACACTCTGTCCGCACGCACTACTCCATCTTGCGGTGCGCTTCAGCACTATAGGGTAGTGTTGTGCCGCTACCAGTGACTATGGTTACATGCTGCTGACTGCAAACCTCTTTTGAATATTTCAACATTTCATGGGGAGTTTGTAATATATAAATCTCTAGGCACTTGTCTTTCCAAAGCACCTAGACTGATCTTTATTTATTTTTATTCACAAAAGTCTTACAACTTTTTCTTCACTTGAGCATTTTTTACATTCATAAAAGTATTTCAAATTCTGCTCTCTATACTTTTAAGATTAATACCACTTCTTCATACTTTCATAATTTTACATTCATATGCCTTTTTATACCACAGCTCTGTAACAATTCTATATTGACAAATATTGACAGGTCTTACAACTTTGTCTTCACATGAGCATTTTTTACATTCATACAAGTTTTTAAACTTCTGCTCTTAATACTTTTGAGATCAATACCACCTATTTAGCACTTTAATAATTTTGCATTTATACAGCTTTTAGCTACAGCTCTGTAACACTCTTTATATTTATATGTAGGGCAGCAACTGAAGCTCACCACTAGATGCGGCTGTCATACCATAATCAAATATTTCTATGGTGATGTGCTGACTGCAAACATCTTTTTTATGTAGGGCAGTGACAGAAGCACACCACCAGATGGTGCTGTTTTTCCATTATTACAAATCACTACAGTTAACAACTGTAAATGTAAGTATATAAATAAATAAATAATAATAATAGAAAATGACAATGACAATAATATTCATCATAATATTTGTCGTAATATGTAGTAAGAAATAGAAAATAAAAATCAATAAACAATAATAATAAAAAAATAATAATAATAAAAAAATAATAATGATAATGATAAAGATAATAATAAAGATAATAATAATAATGATAATAATAATAATAATAATAATAATAATAATAATAATAATAAATAGATAAGTAAATAAAATAAAAAAATAAAAAGTTGGGAATGAAAGTGTCAGAGAACAGAGATGGATGATGTTGTGACTGGTTTGTGGCAGATTATGAGCTTAGAAAAGTGATGAATGATAACCAGGTAGAGTTATGATTATTGTCAGAGGAGTTTGTATTTTCTAAGGAGATGTAGTCTATGAGCAGGTTTTTCCAGTGTATTATGAGTATGGAGTTCCGAGACTTCCAGTTCATGAGGATGAAGTTTTCCTGGCGACGGTTAGTGCCACTAGAAGTGAACGTGTGTGTGTGTTTTGTCAAGTTTTAATGGAGATAGGTCTCCTAATAAACAGACGGAAGGGAAAGTGGGATGTGGCAGCCCATAATCTGGGATAATGTTTCTGTAATGTTTCTCCAGAAGTGGTGAACAGGTGTGCAGTGCCAGGTTGCATGAATATAGGTATCAGTGCAGTTTAGTGAGCAGTGTGAACAGTTTCCAGATGATGAGAAGCCCATTTTTTGCATTTTGTGTCCAGTCAGATGAGTTCTGTGAAGGATTTTGTATTGTATGAGTTGTAAATTAGCATTTTTCGTCATGGAGAAAATGTTCTTGCAGATTTGGGGCCAGAAGTCAGCATCAGGAGGGTATGGAGGGTGTTGAGTCGGCCTGTGATAATAATTTGTATAATTTAGATAGGATTTTCTTTGAGGAAGGGATGTTAATGAGTTTAGAGGGTAACGGGGGAGGTCTAAGTTTATATTCTTGTTTTTCATTGATGATTGGATGGATGATGAAACCTGTAGATATTGTAGGAATTGATGGCTCCTGATGCCAAACTTCTGGACCAGGAGAGAGAATGGGACCAGGGTGTTATTATTGAAGATATGTTTGAGGTGAGTAATCCCTTTCTCTACCCAGGTGCTGAAGTATAGTGATTGTTTATTGCTGATGAAGTCCAGGTTGTGCCAGATCGGGGTGAAAAGCGATGGTGCCAGAGTGGAGTTAGTAATGCTGTAGAATTTCCACCAGGCTGTCAGGGCCGATGATATTGTGGGGTTTTGGAAACAGGGGTGTTTTTTGATAGTTTGACTGAGGAATGGTAGGTCTGAGAGATGGATGTCTTTGCTAACTGTTTGTTCTATGTCTAACCACGTGCTATCTGACTGGGTGGGGTGGGTCCATTTGTAGATGTATTGAAGTTGATTTGCTAGTGAGTAATGATGAAAATTTGGAGCATTGAGTCCGCCTAAACTTTTTGATTTCTGAAGAGTGGCCAGTTTGACTCGTGGGGGTTTATTTTTCCAGTAAAATTTGTTGATGGATGAATCGAGGGAATGAAACCAGGTGAGAGGTGGATGAGTGGGAATCATTGAACAAAGGTAACTGATTTTGGGGAGGATTGTCATTTTAACTGTTGCTATTCTGCCTAATATAGATAATGGGAGGTTCATCCATCGTTGGAGATCATCATTGATTTTTTTTAGGAGTGGAGTGAAATTCAGGTTGATCAACTCTGACAGCCTGGGGGAAATGTGGATGCCTAAGTAGGTGATGTGACTTGTGCAGAAGGGGATGGGTGTTGTAAGGGCTGCCACAGCCAGACTGTTGGTGTTTAATGGGAGTATGGAGGATTTGTTCCAGTTTATTGAGTAGTCAGAGAGAAGGGAGAAGGATTTGATGACACTGATTACTTCTTTGTAGTGATGATTTTGGGTTATCCATAAAAAGTAAAATGTCATCTGCATAGAGGCTGATTTTATGGTGCATGTTGGGGGTTTGGATTCCTGTAATGAGGGGGTTCTGACGGATGGCTGCTGCTAGGGGTTCAATGAAAATGGTGAAAAAAGAGGGAGAGAGTGGGCAACCTTGCCTGGTCCCCCTGTGAAGAGTGAAGCTTTGTGAGGTTTGTCCGTTAGTAATAACTGTGGCTGTAGGTGAGGTGTAAAGTGTTTTAATCCAGTTAATAAATGATTCCCCAAAGCCGAAACTGTGTAGGGTGTGGATGAGGAATGACCAGTTAACTCTGTCAAAGGCTTTTTCTGCATCTAAGGTGGCTATGATTGAGTTATGGTTATGTGTGGTTGAGTGGTGCATTATATTGAATAGTCTGCGTGTGTTATTGGATGAGTTTCTTCCTTTAATAAATCCTGTTTGATCCGGGTGAATAATGGATGGAATAATTTTTTCTAATCGGTGGGAAAGTGCCTTGGTGATAATTTTAATGTCAACGTTGAGAAGTGAAATGGGGCGGTAACTTGAAGGTAGGGTGGAACTTAACGCATTCATGCCATTACACATGCTCAAAAACGTTCAAACTCGCCAAAACAAACACTTTTAATAACAACAAGCCAAACTCATCAAAAGAACACAAAAGAACACTTAAACACACGTTCAGCTTAACACATTCATGAAACATATGGGGATTACTAATTCAACACATTCATGCCATTACACATGCTAAAAAACCTTCAAACTGGCCAAAACGAACAATGTTCATAACAACAAGCCAAACTCATCAAAAGAACACTAAAACAACAGCTCAACGCATTCATGCCATTACACATGCTCAAAAACCTTCAAACTGGCCAAAACGAACACTTTTCATAACAACAAGCCAAACTCATCAAAAGAACACTAAAACAACAGCTTAACACATTCATGCCATTACACATGCACAAAAACGTTCAAACTCGCCAAAACAAACACTTTTCATAACAACAAGCCAAACTTCATCAAAAGAACACTAAAACAAACGCTTAACGCATTCATGCCATTACACATGCTAAAAAACCTTCAAACTCGCCAAAACGAACAATGTTCATAACAACAAGCCAAAGTCATCATAAGAACACTAAAACAACAGCTTAACGCATTCATGCCATTACACATGCTCAAAAACGTTCAAACTCGCCAAAACAAACACTTTTCACAACAACAAGCCAAACTCATCAAAAGAACACTAAAACAACAGCTTAACACAAGGGATTACTAATTCAACACATTCATGCCATTACACATGCTCAAAAACGTTCAAACTGGCCAAAACGAACAATGTTCATAACAACAAGCCAAACTCATCATAAGAACACTAAAACAACAGCTTAACGCATTCATGCCATTACACATGCTCAAAAACGTTCAAACTCGCCAAAACAAACACTTTTCATAACAACAAGCCAAACTCATCAAAAGAACACTAAAACAACAACTTACGCATTCATGCCATTACACATGCGAAACAAAAACGTTCAAACTCGCCAAAACAAACACTTTTCATAACAACAAGCCAAACTCATCAAAAGAACACTAAATACAACAGCTTAACGCATTCATGCCATTACACATGCTCAAAAATCGTTCAAACTGGCCAAAACAAACACTTTTCATAACAACAAGCCAAACTCATCAAAAGAACACTAAAACAACAGCTTAACGGATTCATGCCATTACACATGCACAAAATCGTTCAAACTCGCCAAAACAAACACTTTTCATAACAACAAGCCAAACTCATCAAAAGAACACTAAAACAACAGCTTAACGCATTCATGCCATTACACATGCTAAAAAACCTTCAAACTGGCCAAAACGAACAATGTTCATAACAACAAGCCAAACTCATCAAAAGAACACTTAAACAACAGCTTAACGCATTCATGCCATTACACACGCTCAAAACCTTCAAACTGGCCAAAACGAACAATGTTCATAACAAAACAAGCCAACACTCATCATAAACACTAAAACAACAGCTTAACACATTCATGCCATTACACATGCTCAAAAACGTTCAAAGTCGCCAAAACAAACACTTTTCACAACAACAAGCCAAACTCATCAAAAGAACACCAAAACAACGGCTTAACAAAAGGGATTACTAATTCAACACATTCATGCCATTACACATGCTCCAAAACCTTCAAACTGGCCAAAACGAACAATGTTCATAACAACAAGCCAAACTCATCAAAAGAACACTAAAACAACAGCTTAACGCATTCATGCCATTACACATGCTCAAAAACTTTCAAACTCGCCAAAATAAACACTTTTCATAACAACAAGCCAAACTCATCAAAAGAACACTAAAACAACGGCTTAACACATGGGATTACTAATTCAACACATTAACGCCATTACACATGCTCAAAAACGTTCAAACTGGCCAAAACGAACAATGTTCATAACAACAAGCCAAACTCAACAAAAGAACACTAAAACAACAGCTTAACGCATTCATGCCATTACACATGCTCAAAAACGTTCAAACTCGCCAAAACAAACACTTTTCACAACAACAAGCCAAACTCATCAAAAGAACACTAAAACAACAGCTTAACACAAGGGATTACTAATTCAACACATTCATGCCATTACACATGCTCAAAAACGTTCAAACTCGCCAAAACAAACACTTTTCATAACAACAAGCCAAACTCATCAAAAGAACACTAAAACAACGGCTTAACACAAGGGATTACTAATTCAACACATTCATGCCATTACACATGCTAAAAAACCTTCAAACTGGCCAAAACGAACAATGTTCATAACAACAAGCCAAACTCATCAAAAGAACACTAAAACAACAGCTTAACGCATTCATGCCATTACACATGATCAAAAACGTTCAAATTCGCCAAAACAAACACTTTTCATAACAACAAGCCAAACTCATCAAAAGAACACTAAAACAACAGCTTAACACAAGGGATTACTAATTCAACACATTCATGCCATTACACATGCTCAAAAACGTTCAAACTGGCCAAAACGAACAATGTTCATAACAACAAGCCAAACTCATCAAAAGAACACTAAAACAACAGCTTAACGCATTCATGCCATTACACATGCTCAAAAACCTTCAAACTGGCCAAAACGAACACTTTTCATAACAACAAGCCAAACTCATCAAAAGAACACTAAAACAACAGCTTAACGCATTCATGCCATTACACATGCTCAAAAACGTTCAAACTCGCCAAAACAAACACTTTTCATAACAACAAGCCAAACTCATCAAAAGAACACTAAAACAACAGCTTAACGCATTCATGCCATTACACATGCTCAAAAACGTTCAAACTGGCCAAAACGAACAATGTTCATAACAACAAGCCAAACTCATCAAAAGAACACTAAAACAACAGCTTAACGCATTCATGCCATTACACATGCTCAAAAACGTTCAAACTCGCCAAAACAAACACTTTTCATAACAACAAGCCAAACTCATCAAAAGAACACTAAAACAACAGCTTAACGCATTCATGCCATTACACATGCTCAAAAACGTTCAAACTGGCCAAAACGAACAATGTTCATAACAACAAGCCAAACTCATCAAAAGAACACTAAAACAACAGCTTAACGCATTCATGCCATTACACATGCTCAAAAACGTTCAAACTCGCCAAAACAAACACTTTTCATAACAACAATCCAAACTCATCAAAAGAACACTAAAACAACAGCTTAACGCATTCATGCCATTACACATGCTCAAAAACCTTCAAACTGGCCAAAACGAACAATGTTCATAGCAACAAGCCAAACTCATCAAAAGAACACTAAAACAACAGCTTAACACATCCATGCCATTACACATGCTCAAAAACGTTCAAACTCGCCAAAACAAACACTTTTCATAACAACAAGCCAAACTCATCAAAAGAACACTAAAACAACAGCTTAACGCATTCATGCCATTACACATGCTCAAAAACGTTCAAACTCGCCAAAACGAACAATGTTCATAACAACAAGCCAAACTCATCAAAAGAACACTAAATAAACAGCTTAACGCATTCATGCCATTACACATGCTCAAAAACGTTCAAAGTCGCCAAAACAAACACTTTTCATAACAACAAGCCAAACTCATCAAAAGAACACTAAAACAACGGCTTAACACAAGGGATTACTAATTCAACACATTCATGCCATTACACATGCTAAAAAACCTTCAAACTGGCCAAAACGAACAATGTTCATAACAACAAGCCAAACTCATCAAAAGAACACTAAAACAACAGCTTAACGCATTCATGCCATTACACATGATCAAAAACGTTCAAACTCGCCAAAACAAACACTTTTCATAACAACAAGCCAAACTCATCAAAAGAACACTAAAACAACAGCTTAACGCATTCATGCCATTACACATGCTCAAAAACGTTCAAACTCGCCAAAACAAACACTTTTCATAACAACAAGCCAAACTCATCAAAAGAACACTAAAATAACAGCTTAACGCATTCATGCCATTACACATGCTCAAAAACGTTCAAACTCGCCAAAACAAACAACTTTTCATAACAACAAGCCAAACTCATCAAAAGAACACTAAAACAACAGCTTAACGCATTCATGCCATTACACATGCTCAAAAACGTTCAAACTCGCCAAAACAAACACTTTTCATAACAACAAGCCAAACTCATCAAAAGAACACTAAATAAACAGCTTAACGCATTCATGCCATTACACATGCTCAGAATCGTTCAAACTGGCCAAAACAAACACTTTTCATAACAACAAGCCAAACTCATCAAAAGAACACTAAAACAACAGCTTAACGGATTCATGCCATTACACATGCACAAAAACGTTCATACTCGCCAAAACAAACACTTTTCATAACAACAAGCCAAACTCATCAAAAGAACACTAAAACAACAGCTTAACGCATTCATGCCATTACACATGCTCAAAAACCTTCAAACTGGCCAAAACGAACAATGTTCATAACAACAAGCCAAACTCATCAAAAGAACACTAAAACAACAGCTTAACGCATTCATGCCATTACACATGCTCAAAAACGTTCAAACTCGCCAAAACAAACACTTTTCATAACAACAAGCCAAACTCATCAAAAGAACACTAAAACAACGGCTTAAACAGGGATTACTTCAACACATTCATGCCATTACACATGCTCAAAAACCTTCAAACTGGCCAAAACGAACAATGTTCATAGCAACAAGCCAAACTCATCAAAAGAACACTAAAACAACAGCTTAACACATCCATGCCATTACACATGCTCAAAAACGTTCAAACTCGCCAAAACAAACACTTTTCATAACAACAAGCCAACACTCATCAAAAGAACACTAAAACAACAGCTTAACGCATTCATGCCATTACACATGCTCAAAAACGTTCAAACTCGCCAAAACGAACAATGTTCATAACAACAAGCCAAACTCATCAAAAGAACACTAAAACAACAGCTTAACGCATTCATGCCATTACACATGCTCAAAAACGTTCAAACTCGCCAAAACAAACACTTTTCATAACAACAAGCCAAACTCATCAAAAGAACACTAAAACAACAGCTTAACGCATTCATGCCATTACACATGCTCAAAAACGTTCAAACTCGCCAAAACAAACACTTTTCATAACAACAAGCCAAACTCATCAAAAGAACACTAAAACAACAGCTTAACGGATTCATGCCATTACACATGCACAAAAACGTTCAAACTGGCCAAAACGAACAATGTTCATAACAACAAGCCAAACTCATCATAAGAACACTAAAACAACAGCTTAACGCATTCATGCCATTACACATGCTCAAAAACGTTCAAACTCGCCAAAACAAACACTTTTCATAACAACAAGCCAAACTCATCAAAAGAACACTAAAACAACAGCTTAACGCATTCATGCCATTACACATGCTCAAAAACGTTCAAACTGGCCAAAACGAACAATGTTCATAACAACAAGCCAAACTCATCAAAAGAACACTAAAACAACAGCTTAACGCATTCATGCCATTACACATGCTCAAAAACGTTCAAACTGGCCAAAACGAACAATGTTCATAACAACAAGCCAAACTCATCAAAAGAACACTAAAACAACGGCTTAACACAAGGGATTACTAATTCAACACATTCATGCCATTACACATGCTCAAAAACCTTCAAACTGGCCAAAACGAACAATGTTCATAGCAACAAGCCAAACTCATCAAAAGAACACTAAAACAACAGCTTAACACATCCATGCCATTACACATGCTCAAAAACGTTCAAACTCGCCAAAACAAACACTTTTCATAACAACAAGCAACACTCGTCAAAAGAACACTAAAACAACAGCTTAACGCATTCATGCCATTACACATGCTCAAAAACGTTCAAATTGGCCAAAACGAACAATGTTCATAACAACAAGCCAAACTCATCAAAAGAACACTAAAACAACAGCTTAACGCATTCATGCCATTACACATGCTCAAAAACGTTCAAACTCGCCAAAACAAACACTTTTCATAACAACAAGCCAAACTCATCAAAAGAACACTAAAACAACAGCTTAACGGATTCATGCCATTACACATGCTCAAAAACGTTCAAACTGGCCAAAACAAACACTTTTCATAACAACAAGCCAAACTCATCATAAGAACACTAAAACAACAGCTTAACGCATTCATGCCATTACACATGCTCAAAAACGTTCAAACTCGCCAAAACAAACACTTTTCATAACAACAAGCCAAACTCATCAAAAGAACACTAAAACAACAGCTTAACGGATTCATGCCATTACACATGCACAAAAACGTTCAAACTGGCCAAAACGAACAATGTTCATAACAACAAGCCAAACTCATCAAAAGAACACTAAAACAACAGCTTAACGCATTCATGCCATTACACATGCTCAAAAACCTTCAAACTGGCCAAAACGAACAATGTTCATAACAACAAGCCAAACTCATCAAAAGAACACTAAAACAACAGCTTAACGCATTCATGCCATTACACATGCTCAAAAACCTTCAAACTGGCCAAAACGAACAATGTTCATAACAACAAGCCAAACTCATCAAACGAACACTAAAACAACAGCTTAACGCATTCATGCCATTACACATGCTCAAAAACGTTCAAACTCGCCAAAACAAACACTTTTCATAACAACAAGCCAAACTCATCAAAAGAACACTAAATAAACAGCTTAACGCATTCATGCCATTACACATGCTCAGAATCGTTCAAACTGGCCAAAACAAACACTTTTCATAACAACAAGCCAAACTCATCAAAAGAACACTAAAACAACAGCTTAACGGATTCATGCCATTACACATGCACAAAATCGTTCAAACTCGCCAAAACAAACACTTTTCATAACAACAAGCCAAACTCATCAAAAGAACACTAAAACAACAGCTTAACGCATTCATGCCATTACACATGCTAAAAAACCTTCAAACTGGCCAAAACGAACAATGTTCATAACAACAAGCCAAACTCATCAAAAGAACACTTAAACAACAGCTTAACGCATTCATGCCATTACACATGCTCAAAAACCTTCAAACTGGCCAAAACGAACAATGTTCATAACAACAAGCCAAACTCATCATAAGAACACTAAAACAACAGCTTAACGCATTCATGCCATTACACATGCTCAAAAACGTTCAAAGTCGCCAAAACAAACACTTTTCACAACAACAAGCCAAACTCATCAAAAGAACACCAAAACAACGGCTTAACAAAAGGGATTACTAATTCAACACATTCATGCCATTACACATGCTCAAAAACCTTCAAACTGGCCAAAACGAACAATGTTCATAACAACAAGCCAAACTCATCAAAAGAACACTAAAACAACAGCTTAACGCATTCATGCCATTACACATGCTCAAAAACTTTCAAACTCGCCAAAATAAACACTTTTCATAACAACAAGCCAAACTCATCAAAAGAACACTAAAACAACGGCTTAACACATGGGATTACTAATTCAACACATTAACGCCATTACACATGCTCAAAAACGTTCAAACTCGCCAAAACGAACACTGTTCATAACAACAAGCCAAACTCAACAAAAGAACACTAAAACAACAGCTTAACGCATTCATGCCATTACACATGCTCAAAAACGTTCAAACTCGCCAAAACAAACACTTTTCATAACAACAAGCCAAACTCATCAAAAGAACACTAAAACAACAGCTTAACACAAGGGATTACTAATTCAACACATTCATGCCATTACACATGCTCAAAAACGTTCAAACTCGCCAAAACAAACACTTTTCATAACAACAAGCCAAACTCATCAAAAGAACACTAAAACAACGGCTTAACACAAGGGATTACTAATTCAACACATTCATGCCATTACACATGCTCAAAAACCTTCAAACTGGCCAAAACGAACAATGTTCATAACAACAAGCCAAACTCATCAAAAGAACACTAAAACAACAGCTTAACGCATTCATGCCATTACACATGATCAAAAACGTTCAAATTCGCCAAAACAAACACTTTTCATAACAACAAGCCAAACTCATCAAAAGAACACTAAAACAACAGTTTAACACAAGGGATTACTAATTCAACACATTCCTGCCATTACACATGCTCAAAAACGTTCAAACTGGCCAAAACGAACAATGTTCATAACAACAAGCCAAACTCATCATAAGAACACTAAAATAACAGCTTAACGCATTCATGCCATTACACATGCTCAAAAACGTTCAAACTCGCCAAAACAAACACTTTTCATAACAACAAGCCAAACTCATCAAAAGAACACTAAAACAACAGCTTAACGCATTCATGCCATTACACATGCTCAAAAACGTTCAAACTGGCCAAAACAAACACTTTTCATAACAACAAGCCAAACTCATCAAAAGAACAACTAAATAAACAGCTTAACGCATTCATGCCATTACACATGCTCAGAATCGTTCAAACTGGCCAAAACAAACACTTTTCATAACAACAAGCCAAACTCATCAAAAGAACACTAAAACAACAGCTTAACGGATTCATGCCATTACACATGCACAAAAACGTTCATACTCTCCAAAACAAACACTTTTCATAACAACAAGCCAAACTCATCAAAAGAACACTAAAACAACAGCTTAACGCATTCATGCCATTACACATGCTCAAAAACCTTCAAACTGGCCAAAACGAACAATGTTCATAACAACAAGCCAAACTCATCATAAGAACACTAAAACAACAGCTTAACGCATTCATGCCATAACACATGCTCAAAAACGTTCAAACTCGCCAAAACAAACACTTTTCATAACAACAAGCCAAACTCATCAAAAGAACACTAAAACAACGGCTTAACACAAGGGATTACTAATTCAACACATTCATGCCATTACACATGCTCAAAAACCTTCAAACTGGCCAAAACGAACAATGTTCATAGCAACAAGCCAAACTCATCAAAAGAACACTAAAACAACAGCTTAACACATCCATGCCATTACACATGCTCAAAAACGTTCAAACTCGCCAAAACAAACACTTTTCATAACAACAAGCAACACTCGTCAAAAGAACACTAAAACAACAGCTTAACGCATTCATGCCATTACACATGCTCAAAAACGTTCAAATTCGCCAAAACGAACAATGTTCATAACAACAAGCCAAACTCATCAAAAGAACACTAAAACAACAGCTTAACGCATTCATGCCATTACACATGCTCAAAAACGTTCAAACTCGCCAAAACAAACACTTTTCATAACAACAAGCCAAACTCATCAAAAGAACACTAAATAAACAGCTTAACGCATTCATGCCATTACACATGCTCAGAATCGTTCAAACTGGCCAAAACAAACACTTTTCATAACAACAAGCCAAACTCATCAAAAGAACACTAAAACAACAGCTTAACGGATTCATGCCATTACACATGCACAAAAACGTTCATACTCTCCAAAACAAACACTTTTCATAACAACAAGCCAAACTCATCAAAAGAACACTAAAACAACAGCTTAACGCATTCATGCCATTACACATGCTAAAAAAACGTTCAAACTCGCTAAAACGAACAATGTTCATAACAACAAGCCAAACTCATCAAAAGAACACTAAAACAACAGCTTAACGCATTCATGCCATTACACATGCTCAAAAACCTTCAAACTGGCCAAAACGAACAATGTTCATAACAACAAGCCAAACTCATCATAAGAACACTAAAACAACAGCTTAACGCATTCATGCCATAACACATGCTCAAAAACGTTCAAACTCGCCAAAACAAACACTTTTCATAACAACAAGCCAAACTCATCAAAAGAACACTAAAACAACGGTTTAACACAAGGGATTACTAATTCAACACATTCATGCCATTACACATGCTCAAAAGCCTTCAAACTGGCCAAAACGAACAATGTTCATAGCAACAAGCCAAACTCATCAAAAGAACACTAAAACAACAGCTTAACACATCCATGCCATTACACATGCTCAAAAACGTTCAAACTCGCCAAAACAAACACTTTTCATAACAACAAGCAACACTCGTCAAAAGAACACTAAAACAACAGCTTAACGCATTCATGCCATTACACATGCTCAAAAACGTTCAAATTCGCCAAAACGAACAATGTTCATAACAACAAGCCAAACTCATCAAAAGAACACTAAAACAACAGCTTAACGCGTTCATGCCATTACACATGCTCAAAAACGTTCAAACTCGCCAAAACAAACACTTTTCATAACAACAAGCCAAACTCATCAAAAGAACACTAAAACAACAGCTTAACGGATTCATGCCATTACACATGCACAAAAACGTTCAAACTGGCCAAAACGAACAATGTTCATAACAACAAGCCAAACTCATCATAAGAACACTAAAACAACAGCTTAACGCATTCATGCCATTACACATGCTCAAAAACGTTCAAACTCGCCAAAACAAACACTTTTCATAACAACAAGCCAAACTCATCAAAAGAACACTAAAACAACAGCTTAACGGATTCATGCCATTACACATGCACAAAAACGTTCAAACTGGCCAAAACGAACAATCTTCATAACAAAAAGCCACACTCGTCAAAAGAACACTAAAACAACAGCTTAACGCATTCATGCCATTACACATGCTAAAAAACCTTCAAACTGGCCAAAACGAACAATGTTCATAACAACAAGCCAAACTCATCAAAAGAACACTAAAACAACATCTTAACGCATTCATGCCATTACACATGCTCAAAAACCTTCAAACTGGCCAAAACGAACAATGTTCATAACAACAAGCCAAACTCATCAAACGAACACTAAAACAACAGCTTAACGCATTCATGCCATTACACATGCTCAAAAACGTTCAAACTCGCCAAAACAAACACTTTTCATAACAACAAGCCAAACTCATCAAAAGAACACTAAAACAACAGCTTAACGCATTCATGCCATTACACATGCTAAAAAACGTTCAAACTGGCCAAAACAAACAATGTTCAAAACAACAAGCCAAACTCATCAAAAGAACACTAAAACAACATCTTAACACAAGGGATTACTAATTCAACACATTCATGCCATTACACATGCTCAAAATCGTTCAAACTGGCCAAAACGAACAATGTTCATAACAACAAGCCAAACTCATCATAAGAACACTAAAACAACAGCTTAACGCATTCATTTTTTTTAAATTTTTTTTTTATTATTATGGCAAGAATGTTTATTGATCTCTTACAATAAAAAAGGCAGAAAATAAGCTTCAATATGTTTTCCTCAAATACTTTAAAGATAGAGGGAAATGGTTAACTTGACTGTAAAAAAAAAAACAAATGCTAATTTTTCCCTTTTCACATAAAGAATTGACAAATTAATCATACTTGAGTGATAATGAGGTCGGGCACATTTTACCTACGGCAAAGGTTGGAGCTTTCACTGTAACATCTGTACCATATATGACTGTGGCGGTTTGTTTCTGAGCCTCATAAACATCAATGAAAGGAATCCAGTACAGCACATTTTGTGTGCGTGTGTGTGTGTGTAAGCAGAAGAAACTCCAGCTCAATGAGGCTCTTTAAACCTCACTTCCTGCTTTGATCTGCAGCTTCCTCGATTGCAGCCAGGTTGAAAGAGTCAGGAGGAAATTCACCAAGAGTGGACTGCAGTGGTTAAAAAATCTGCCCCATCTCAATGAGTGATTCACGAAGCAAACACCCACAAAGGTTTGCAGCTCTGTGCAGTTTGAACTAGTTTTGTGTCCAGTTGTGACTGAGATGAGCTGTCAGCATCACCACTTTCTGCTGCACAGAGCTGCATTGTGTATTCACATCCTGTCAGTGCTAGAATTCTTTAGTGGAGGTGGTTCATGACAGACATGATAGTACTTGCACAATTTGTATCCATCAGATTTCCTGGTGTATACTGGTAAAAAGCAGTTCATTTATATAAGTGTGAAGCAGTTCCTGGTATAAACCAGCAAAAGAACAAAACACTAAGCCAACAAATAAAATTTACATTTCTCAAGAAATTAATTAAATTCTGCCTAACGTTAGTATGTGTCTGTGGGAAATTGGTTGTTTTCCTGTGGGCCACATTTAATGGCTCCTTTTTTTTTTTTTTTTTTTTTAAATTTTTTAAATTTTTTATTTGTGCAGTGTGACAATACAAGACATACAAAACAAACAATGGCATTTGTGGTTGTGTGTGTGTGTGTGTGTGTTTGTGTGTGTGCGTGTGTGTGTGGTGTGTGTAAATAATAATGAAAAAGAAAATAAAAAAAAAAATAAATAAATATTACAATTGTCAGACAAGCAAAAAAAAAAAAAGAAAATTATACTACATCAACAATATCAATAATAATAATAATAACAACAATAATAGTAATAATAATAATAATAAGAAGAAGGAATTTGTGGACCACTTTGGGTCCCTTCCCACTCGCACGAGACCCACCTGCATCCCTCCAGGCCCCCAGACTCCCACCCCAACCCCCGCATGCCCCGGAGCTGAATGCGGCACAACACCTTGCCCTATGTCTATATATGTATTTAGTCTTTGTTATTTACTTAATATACTTTATAATTATTTATTTATTTTTATTATTTATTTTTTTTAAAATTATTATTATTATTATTATTATTATTATTATTATTATTGTTATTATTTTATTTATTTTATTTTTTTTTTTTCTTAATTTCTCTCATATATGTGCTTTCTAATGTTGTGCATTAAAACCAAGGAGAGGGGTTGTCCTGAACTATAATTTGATGAGATTGAGACCCCGTTCCTCTTCCTAATCTAGTGTGATGTGCAATAAAAGAGGTGATGTGCCATCTGAAGACAGTCCAGGGCGGAGAACTGGGGGAGGGGGAGGCCGGAAGGGCAAGGAGATCACAGGTCATTGTCTAACAGGCGCGACCCAGCAGGGACCCGAGCAGAAAATAACAACTGTAAATGTAAGTATATAAATAAATAAATAATAATAATAGAAAATGACAATGACAATAATATTCATCATAATATTTGTCGTAATATGTAGTAAGAAATAGAAAATAAAAATCAATAAACAATAATAATAAAAAAATAATAATGATAATGATAAAGATAATAATAAAGATAATAATAATAATAATAATAATAATAATAATAAATAGATAAGTAAATAAAATAAAAATAAAAAGTTGGGAATGAAAGTGTCAGAGAACAGAGATGGATGATGTTGTGACTGGTTTGTGGCAGATTATGAGCTTAGAAAAGTGATGAATGATAACCAGGTAGAGTTATGATTATTGTCAGAGGAGTTTGTATTTTCTAAGGAGATGTAGTCTATGAGCAGGTTTTTCCAGTGTATTATGAGTATGGAGTTCCGAGACTTCCAGTTCATGAGGATAGTTTTCCTGGCGACGGTTAGTGCCACTAGAAGTGAACGTGTGTGTGTGTTTTGTCAAGTTTTAATGGAGATAGGTCTCCTAATAAACAGACGGAAGGGGAAAGTGGGATGTGGCAGCCCATAATCTGGGATAATGTTTCTGTAATGTTTCTCCAGAAGTGGTGAACAGGTGTGCAGTGCCAGGTTGCATGAATATAGGTATCAGTGCAGTTTAGTGAGCAGTGTGAACAGTTTCCAGATGATGAGAAGCCCATTTTTTGCATTTTGTGTCCAGTCAGATGAGTTCTGTGAAGGATTTTGTATTGTATGAGTTGTAAATTAGCATTTTTCGTCATGGAGAAAATGTTCTTGCAGATTTGGGGCCAGAAGTCAGCATCAGGAGGGTATGGAGGGTGTTGAGTCGGCCTGTGATAATAATTTGTATAATTTAGATAGGATTTTCTTTGAGGAAGGGATGTTAATGAGTTTAGATAGGGTAACGGGGGAGGTCTAAGTTTATATTCTTGTTTTTCATTGATGATTGGATGGATGATGAAACCTGTAGATATTGTAGGAATTGATGGCTCCTGATGCCAAACTTCTGGACCAGGAGAGAGAATGGGACCAGGGTGTTATTATTGAAGATATGTTTGAGGTGAGTAATCCCTTTCTCTACCCAGGTGCTGAAGTATAGTGATTGTTTATTGCTGATGAAGTCCAGGTTGTGCCAGATCGGGGTGAAAAGCGATGGTGCCAGAGTGGAGTTAGTAATGCTGTAGAATTTCCACCAGGCTGTCAGGGCCGATGATATTGTGGGGTTTTGGAAACAGGGGTGTTTTTTGATAGTTTGACTGAGGAATGGTAGGTCTGAGAGATGGATGTCTTTGCTAACTGTTTGTTCTATGTCTAACCACGTGCTATCTGACTGGGTGGGGTGGGTCCATTTGTAGATGTATTGAAGTTGATTTGCTAGTGAGTAATGATGAAAATTTGGAGCATTGAGTCCGCCTAAACTTTTTGATTTCTGAAGAGTGGCCAGTTTGACTCGTGGGGGTTTATTTTTCCAGTAAAATTTGTTGATGGATGAATCGAGGGAATGAAACCAGGTGAGAGGTGGATGAGTGGGAATCATTGAACAAAGGTAACTGATTTTGGGGAGGATTGTCATTTTAACTGTTGCTATTCTGCCTAATATAGATAATGGGAGGTTCATCCATCGTTGGAGATCATCATTGATTTTTTTTAGGAGTGGAGTGAAATTCAGGTTGATCAACTCTGACAGCCTGGGGGAAATGTGGATGCCTAAGTAGGTGATGTGACTTGTGCAGAAGGGGATGGGTGTTGTAAGGGCTGCCACAGCCAGACTGTTGGTGTTTAATGGGAGTATGGAGGATTTGTTCCAGTTTATTGAGTAGTCAGAGAGAAGGGAGAAGGATTTGATGACACTGATTACTTCTTGTAGTGATGATTTTGGGTTATCCATAAAAAGTAAAATGTCATCTGCATAGAGGCTGATTTTATGGTGCATGTTGGGGGTTTGGATTCCTGTAATGAGGGGGTTCTGACGGATGGCTGCTGCTAGGGGTTCAATGAAAATGGTGAAAAAAGAGGGAGAGAGTGGGCAACCTTGCCTGGTCCCCCTGTGAAGAGTGAAGCTTTGTGAGGTTTGTCCGTTAGTAATAACTGTGGCTGTAGGTGAGGTGTAAAGTGTTTTAATCCAGTTAATAAATGATTCCCCAAAGCCGAAACTGTGTAGGGTGTGGATGAGGAATGACCAGTTAACTCTGTCAAAGGCTTTTTCTGCATCTAAGGTGGCTATGATTGAGTTATGGTTATGTGTGGTTGAGTGGTGCATTATATTGAATAGTCTGCGTGTGTTATTGGATGAGTTTCTTCCTTTAATAAATCCTGTTTGATCCGGGTGAATAATGGATGGAATAATTTTTTCTAATCGGTGGGAAAGTGCCTTGGTGATAATTTTAATGTCAACGTTGAGAAGTGAAATGGGGCGGTAACTTGAAGGTAGGGTGGAACTTAACGCATTCATGCCATTACACATGCTCAAAAACGTTCAAACTCGCCAAAACAAACACTTTTAATAACAACAAGCCAAACTCATCAAAAGAACACTAAAACAACAGCTTAACACAAGGGATTACTAATTCAACACATTCATGCCATTACACATGCTCAAAAACCTTCAAACTGGCCAAAACGAACAATGTTCATAACAACAAGCCAAACTCATCAAAAGAACACTAAAACAACAGCTTCAACGCATTCATGCCATTACACATGCTCAAAAACCTTCAAACTGGCCAAAACGAACACTTTTCATAACAACAAGCCAAACTCATCAAAAGAACACTAAAACAACAGCTTAACACATTCATGCCATTACACATGCACAAAAACGTTCAAACTCGCCAAAACAAACACTTTTCATAACAACAAGCCAAACTCATCAAAAGAACACTAAAACAAACGCTTAACGCATTCATGCCATTACACATGCTAAAAAACCTTCAAACTCGCCAAAACGAACAATGTTCATAACAACAAGCCAAAGTCATCATAAGAACACTAAAACAACAGCTTAACGCATTCATGCCATTACACATGCTCAAAAACGTTCAAACTCGCCAAAACAAACACTTTTCACAACAACAAGCCAAACTCATCAAAAGAACACTAAAACAACAGCTTAACACAAGGGATTACTAATTCAACACATTCATGCCATTACACATGCTCAAAAACGTTCAAACTGGCCAAAACGAACAATGTTCATAACAACAAGCCAAACTCATCATAAGAACACTAAAACAACAGCTTAACGCATTCATGCCATTACACATGCTCAAAAACGTTCAAACTCGCCAAAACAAACACTTTTCATAACAACAAGCCAAACTCATCAAAAGAACACTAAAACAACAACTTACGCATTCATGCCATTACACATGCTCAAAAACGTTCAAACTCGCCAAAACAAACACTTTTCATAACAACAAGCCAAACTCATCAAAAGAACACTAAATAAACAGCTTAACGCATTCATGCCATTACACATGCTCAGAATCGTTCAAACTGGCCAAAACAAACACTTTTCATAACAACAAGCCAAACTCATCAAAAGAACACTAAAACAACAGCTTAACGGATTCATGCCATTACACATGCACAAAATCGTTCAAACTCGCCAAAACAAACACTTTTCATAACAACAAGCCAAACTCATCAAAAGAACACTAAAACAACAGCTTAACGCATTCATGCCATTACACATGCTCAAAAACCTTCAAACTGGCCAAAACGAACAATGTTCATAACAACAAGCCAAACTCATCAAAAGAACACTTAAACAACAGCTTAACGCATTCATGCCATTACACACGCTCAAAAACCTTCAAACTGGCCAAAACGAACAATGTTCATAACAACAAGCCAAACTCATCATAAGAACACTAAAACAACAGCTTAACGCATTCATGCCATTACACATGCTCAAAAAACGTTCAAACTCGCCAAAACAAACACTTTTCAAAACAAAAAGCCAAACTCATCAAAATAACACCAAAACAACTGATTAACAAAAGGGATTACTAATTCAACACATTCATGCCATTACACATGCTCAAAAACCTTCAAACTGGCCAAAACGAACAATGTTCATAACAACAAGCCAAACTCATCAAAAGAACACTAAAACAACAGCTTAACGCATTCATGCCATTACACATGCTCAAAAACTTTCAAACTCGCCAAAATAAACACTTTTCATAACAACAAGCCAAACTCATCAAAAGAACACTAAAACAACGGCTTAACACATGGGATTACTAATTCAACACATTAACGCCATTACACATGCTCAAAAACGTTCAAACTGGCCAAAACGAACAATGTTCATAACAACAAGCCAAACTCAACAAAAGAACACTAAAACAACAGCTTAACGCATTCATGCCATTACACATGCTCAAAAACGTTCAAACTCGCCAAAACAAACACTTTTCACAACAACAAGCCAAACTCATCAAAAGAACACTAAAACAACAGCTTAACACAAGGGATTACTAATTCAACACATTCATGCCATTACACATGCTCAAAAACGTTCAAACTCGCCAAAACAAACACTTTTCATAACAACAAGCCAAACTCATCAAAAGAACACTAAAACAACGGCTTAACACAAGGGATTACTAATTCAACACATTCATGCCATTACACATGCTAAAAAACCTTCAAACTGGCCAAAACGAACAATGTTCATAACAACAAGCCAAACTCATCAAAAGAACACTAAAACAACAGCTTAACGCATTCATGCCATTACACATGATCAAAAACGTTCAAATTCGCCAAAACAAACACTTTTCATAACAACAAGCCAAACTCATCAAAAGAACACTAGAACAACAGTTTAACACAAGGGATTACTAATTCAACACATTCCTGCCATTACACATGCTCAAAAACGTTCAAACTGGCCAAAACGAACAATGTTCATAACAACAAGCCAAACTCATCATAAGAACACTAAAATAACAGCTTAACGCATTCATGCCATTACACATGCTCAAAAACGTTCAAACTCGCCAAAACAAACACTTTTCATAACAACAAGCCAAACTCATCAAAAGAACACTAAAACAACAGCTTAACGCATTCATGCCATTACACATGCTCAAAAACGTTCAAACTCGCCAAAACAAACACTTTTCATAACAACAAGCCAAACTCATCAAAAGAACACTAAATAAACAGCTTAACGCATTCATGCCATTACACATGCTCAGAATCGTTCAAACTCGCCAAAACAAACACTTTTCATAACAACAAGCCAAACTCATCAAAAGAACACTAAAACAACAGCTTAACGGATTCATGCCATTACACATGCACAAAAACGTTCATACTCTCCAAAACAAACACTTTTCATAACAACAAGCCAAACTCATCAAAAGAACACTAAAACAACAGCTTAACGCATTCATGCCATTACACATGCTCAAAAACCTTCAAACTGGCCAAAACGAACAATGTTCATAACAACAAGCCAAACTCATCATAAGAACACTAAAACAACAGCTTAACGCATTCATGCCATTAAACATGCTCAAAAACGTTCAAACTCGCCAAAACAAACACTTTTCATAACAACAAGCCAAACTCATCAAAAGAACACTAAAACAACGGCTTAACACAAGGGATTACTAATTCAACACATTCATGCCATTACACATGCTCAAAAACCTTCAAACTGGCCAAAACGAACAATGTTCATAGCAACAAGCCAAACTCATCAAAAGAACACTAAAACAACAGCTTAACACATCCATGCCATTACACATGCTCAAAAACGTTCAAACTCGCCAAAACAAACACTTTTCATAACAACAAGCAACACTCGTCAAAAGAACACTAAAACAACAGCTTAACGCATTCATGCCATTACACATGCTCAAAAACGTTCAAATTCGCCAAAACGAACAATGTTCATAACAACAAGCCAAACTCATCAAAAGAACACTAAAACAACAGCTTAACGCATTCATGCCATTACACATGCTCAAAAACGTTCAAACTCGCCAAAACAAACACTTTTCATAACAACAAGCCAAACTCATCAAAAGAACACTAAATAAACAGCTTAACGCATTCATGCCATTACACATGCTCAGAATCGTTCAAACTGGCCAAAACAAACACTTTTCATAACAACAAGCCAAACTCATCAAAAGAACACTAAAACAACAGCTTAACGGATTCATGCCATTACACATGCACAAAAACGTTCATACTCTCCAAAACAAACACTTTTCATAACAACAAGCCAAACTCATCAAAAGAACACTAAAACAACAGCTTAACGCATTCATGCCATTACACATGCTAAAAAAACGTTCAAACTCGCTAAAACGAACAATGTTCATAACAACAAGCCAAACTCATCAAAAGAACACTAAAACAACAGCTTAACGCATTCATGCCATTACACATGCTCAAAAACCTTCAAACTGGCCAAAACGAACAATGTTCATAACAACAAGCCAAACTCATCATAAGAACACTAAAACAACAGCTTAACGCATTCATGCCATAACACATGCTCAAAAACGTTCAAACTCGCCAAAACAAACACTTTTCATAACAACAAGCCAAACTCATCAAAAGAACACTAAAACAACGGCTTAACACAAGGGATTACTAATTCAACACATTCATGCCATTACACATGCTCAAAAACCTTCAAACTGGCCAAAACGAACAATGTTCATAGCAACAAGCCAAACTCATCAAAAGAACACTAAAACAACAGCTTAACACATCCATGCCATTACACATGCTCAAAAACGTTCAAACTCGCCAAAACAAACACTTTTCATAACAACAAGCAACACTCGTCAAAAGAACACTAAAACAACAGCTTAACGCATTCATGCCATTACACATGCTCAAAAACGTTCAAATTCGCCAAAACGAACAATGTTCATAACAACAAGCCAAACTCATCAAAAGAACACTAAAACAACAGCTTAACGCATTCATGCCATTACACATGCTCAAAAACGTTCAAACTCGCCAAAACAAACACTTTTCATAACAACAAGCCAAACTCATCAAAAGAACACTAAAACAACAGCTTAACGGATTCATGCCATTACACATGCACAAAAACGTTCAAACTGGCCAAAACGAACAATGTTCATAACAACAAGCCAAACTCATCATAAGAACACTAAAACAACAGCTTAACGCATTCATGCCATTACACATGCTCAAAAACGTTCAAACTCGCCAAAACAAACACTTTTCATAACAACAAGCCAAACTCATCAAAAGAACACTAAAACAACAGCTTAACGGATTCATGCCATTACACATGCACAAAAACGTTCAAACTGGCCAAAACGAACAATCTTCATAACAAAAAGCCACACTCATCAAAAGAACACTAAAACAACAGCTTAACGCATTCATGCCATTACACATGCTAAAAAACCTTCAAACTGGCCAAAACGAACAATGTTCATAACAACAAGCCAAACTCATCAAAAGAACACTAAAACAACATCTTAACGCATTCATGCCATTACACATGCTCAAAAACCTTCAAACTGGCCAAAACGAACAATGTTCATAACAACAAGCCAAACTCATCAAACGAACACTAAAACAACAGCTTAACGCATTCATGCCATTACACATGCTCAAAAACGTTCAAACTCGCCAAAACAAACACTTTTCATAACAACAAGCCAAACTCATCAAAAGAACACTAAAACAACAGCTTAACGCATTCATGCCATTACACATGCTAAAAAACGTTCAAACTGGGCAAAACGAACAATGTTCAAAACAACAAGCCAAACTCATCAAAAGAACACTAAAACAACAGCTTAACACAAGGGATTACTAATTCAACACATTCATGCCATTACACATGCTCAAAATCGTTCAAACTGGCCAAAACGAACAATGTTCATAACAACAAGCCAAACTCATCATAAGAACACTAAAACAACAGCTTAACGCATTCATTTTTTTTAAATTTTTTTTTTATTATTATGGCAAGAATGTTTATTGATCTCTTACAATAAAAAAGGCAGAAAATCAGCTTCAATATGTTTTCCTCAAATACTTTAAAGATAGAGGGAAATGGTTAACTTGACTGTAAAAAAAAAACAAATGCTAATTTTTCCCTTTTCACATAAAGAATTGACAAATTAATCATACTTGAGTGATAATGAGGTCGGGCACATTTTACCTACGGCAAAGGTTGGAGCTTTCACTGTAACATCTGTACCATATATGACTGTGGCGGTTTGTTTCTGAGCCTCATAAACATCAATGAAAGGAATCCAGTACAGCACATTTTGTGTGCGTGTGTGTGTGTGTAAGCAGAAGAAACTCCAGCTCAATGAGGCTCTTTAAACCTCACTTCCTGCTTTGATCTGCAGCTTCCTCGATTGCAGCCAGGTTGAAAGAGTCAGGAGGAAATTCACCAAGAGTGGACTGCAGTGGTTAAAAAATCTGCCCCATCTCAATGAGTGATTCACGAAGCAAACACCCACAAAGGTTTGCAGCTCTGTGCAGTTTGAACTAGTTTTGTGTCCAGTTGTGACTGAGATGAGCTGTCAGCATCACCACTTTCTGCTGCACAGAGCTGCATTGTGTATTCACATCCTGTCAGTGCTAGAATTCTTTAGTGGAGGTGGTTCATGACAGACATGATAGTACTTGCACAATTTGTATCCATCAGATTTCCTGGTGTATACTGGTAAAAAGCAGTTCATTTATATAAGTGTGAAGCAGTTCCTGGTATAAACCAGCAAAAGAACAAAACACTAAGCCAACAAATAAAATTTACATTTCTCAAGAAATTAATTAAATTCTGCCTAACGTTAGTATGTGTCTGTGGGAAATTGGTTGTTTTCCTGTGGGCCACATTTAATGGCTCCTTTTTTTTTTTTTTTTTTTTTTTAAATTTTTTAAATTTTTTATTTGTGCAGTGTGACAATACAAGACATACAAAACAAACAATGGCATTTGTGGTTGTGTGTGTGTGTGTGTGTGTTTGTGTGTGTGCGTGTGTGTGTGGTGTGTGTAAATAATAATGAAAAAGAAAATAAAAAAAAAAATAAATAAATATTACAATTGTCAGACAAGCAAAAAAAAAAAAGAAAATTATACTACATCAACAATATCAATAATAATAATAATAACAACAATAATAGTAATAATAATAATAATAAGAAGAAGGAATTTGTGGACCACTTTGGGTCCCTTCCCACTCGCACGAGACCCACCTGCATCCCTCCAGGCCCCCAGACTCCCACCCCAACCCCCGCATGCCCCGGACTGAATGCGGCACAACACCTTGCCCTATGTCTATATATGTATTTAGTCTTTGTTATTTACTTAATATACTTTATAATTATTTATTTATTTTTATTATTTATTTTTTTTAAAATTATTATTATTATTATTATTATTATTATTATTATTATTGTTATTATTTTATTTATTTTATTTTTTTTTTCTTAATTTCTCTCATATATGTGCTTTCTAATGTTGTGCATTAAAACCAAGGAGAGGGGTTGTCCTGAACTATAATTTGATGAGATTGAGACCCCGTTCCTCTTCCTAATCTAGTGTGATGTGCAATAAAAGAGGTGATGTGCCATCTGAAGACAGTCCAGGGCGGAGAACTGGGGAAGGGGGAGGCCGGAAGGGCAAGGAGATCACAGGTCATTGTCTAACAGGCGCGACCCAGCAGGGACCCGAGCAGAAAATAACAACTGTAAATGTAAGTATATAAATAAATAAATAATAATAATAGAAAATGACAATGACAATAATATTCATCATAATATTTGTCGTAATATGTAGTAAGAAATAGAAAATAAAAATCAATAAACAATAATAATAAAAAAATAATAATGATAATGATAAAGATAATAATAAAGATAATAATAATAATAATAATAATAATAAATAGATAAGTAAATAAAATAAAAATAAAAAGTTGGGAATGAAAGTGTCAGAGAACAGAGATGGATGATGTTGTGACTGGTTTGTGGCAGATTATGAGCTTAGAAAAGTGATGAATGATAACCAGGTAGAGTTATGATTATTGTCAGAGGAGTTTGTATTTTCTAAGGAGATGTAGTCTATGAGCAGGTTTTTCCAGTGTATTATGAGTATGGAGTTCCGAGACTTCCAGTTCATGAGGATAGTTTTCCTGGCGACGGTTAGTGCCACTAGAAGTGAACGTGTGTGTGTGTTTTGTCAAGTTTTAATGGAGATAGGTCTCCTAATAAACAGACGGAAGGGGAAAGTGGGATGTGGCAGCCCATAATCTGGGATAATGTTTCTGTAATGTTTCTCCAGAAGTGGTGAACAGGTGTGCAGTGCCAGGTTGCATGAATATAGGTATCAGTGCAGTTTAGTGAGCAGTGTGAACAGTTTCCAGATGATGAGAAGCCCATTTTTTGCATTTTGTGTCCAGTCAGATGAGTTCTGTGAAGGATTTTGTATTGTATGAGTTGTAAATTAGCATTTTTCGTCATGGAGAAAATGTTCTTGCAGATTTGGGGCCAGAATTCAGCATCAGGAGGGTATGGAGGGTGTTGAGTCGGCCTGTGATAATAATTTGTATAATTTAGATAGGATTTTCTTTGAGGAAGGGATGTTAATGAGTTTAGAGGGTAACGGGGGGAGGTCTAAGTTTATATTCTTGTTTTTCATTGATGATTGGATGGATGATGAAACCTGTAGATATTGTAGGAATTGATGGCTCCTGATGCCAAACTTCTGGACCAGGAGAGAGAATGGGACCAGGGTGTTATTATTGAAGATATGTTTGAGGTGAGTAATCCCTTTCTCTACCCAGGTGCTGAAGTATAGTGATTGTTTATTGCTGATGAAGTCCAGGTTGTGCCAGATCGGGGTGAAAAGCGATGGTGCCAGAGTGGAGTTAGTAATGCTGTAGAATTTCCACCAGGCTGTCAGGGCCGATGATATTGTGGGGTTTTGGAAACAGGGGTGTTTTTTGATAGTTTGACTGAGGAATGGTAGGTCTGAGAGATGGATGTCTTTGCTAACTGTTTGTTCTATGTCTAACCACGTGCTATCTGACTGGGTGGGGTGGGTCCATTTGTAGATGTATTGAAGTTGATTTGCTAGTGAGTAATGATGAAAATTTGGAGCATTGAGTCCGCCTAAACTTTTTGATTTCTGAAGAGTGGCCAGTTTGACTCGTGGGGGTTTATTTTTCCAGTAAAATTTGTTGATGGATGAATCGAGGGAATGAAACCAGGTGAGAGGTGGATGAGTGGGAATCATTGAACAAAGGTAACTGATTTTGGGGAGGATTGTCATTTTAACTGTTGCTATTCTGCCTAATATAGATAATGGGAGGTTCATCCATCGTTGGAGATCATCATTGATTTTTTTTAGGAGTGGAGTGAAATTCAGGTTGATCAACTCTGACAGCCTGGGGGAAATGTGGATGCCTAAGTAGGTGATGTGACTTGTGCAGAAGGGGATGGGTGTTGTAAGGGCTGCCACAGCCAGACTGTTGGTGTTTAATGGGAGTATGGAGGATTTGTTCCAGTTTATTGAGTAGTCAGAGAGAAGGGAGAAGGATTTGATGACACTGATTACTTCTTGTAGTGATGATTTTGGGTTATCCATAAAAAGTAAAATGTCATCTGCATAGAGGCTGATTTTATGGTGCATGTTGGGGGTTTGGATTCCTGTAATGAGGGGGTTCTGACGGATGGCTGCTGCTAGGGGTTCAATGAAAATGGTGAAAAAAGAGGGAGAGAGTGGGCAACCTTGCCTGGTCCCCCTGTGAAGAGTGAAGCTTTGTGAGGTTTGTCCGTTAGTAATAACTGTGGCTGTAGGTGAGGTGTAAAGTGTTTTAATCCAGTTAATAAATGATTCCCCAAAGCCGAAACTGTGTAGGGTGTGGATGAGGAATGACCAGTTAACTCTGTCAAAGGCTTTTTCTGCATCTAAGGTGGCTATGATTGAGTTATGGTTATGTGTGGTTGAGTGGTGCATTATATTGAATAGTCTGCGTGTGTTATTGGATGAGTTTCTTCCTTTAATAAATCCTGTTTGATCCGGGTGAATAATGGATGGAATAATTTTTTCTAATCGGTGGGAAAGTGCCTTGGTGATAATTTTAATGTCAACGTTGAGAAGTGAAATGGGGCGGTAACTTGAAGGTAGGGTGGAACTTAACGCATTCATGCCATTACACATGCTCAAAAACGTTCAAACTCGCCAAAACAAACACTTTTAATAACAACAAGCCAAACTCATCAAAAGAACACTAAAACAACAGCTTAACACAAGGGATTACTAATTCAACACATTCATGCCATTACACATGCTAAAAAACCTTCAAACTGGCCAAAACGAACAATGTTCATAACAACAAGCCAAACTCATCAAAAGAACACTAAAACAACAGCTCAACGCATTCATGCCATTACACATGCTAAAAAACCTTCAAACTGGCCAAAACGAACACTTTTCATAACAACAAGCCAAACTCATCAAAAGAACACTAAAACAACAGCTTAACACATTCATGCCATTACACATGCACAAAAACGTTCAAACTCGCCAAAACAAACACTTTTCATAACAACAAGCCAAACTCATCAAAAGAACACTAAAACAAACGCTTAACGCATTCATGCCATTACACATGCTAAAAAACCTTCAAACTCGCCAAAACGAACAATGTTCATAACAACAAGCCTAAGTCATCATAAGAACACTAAAACAACAGCTTAACGCATTCATGCCATTACACATGCTCAAAAACGTTCAAACTCGCCAAAACAAACACTTTTCACAACAACAAGCCAAACTCATCAAAAGAACACTAAAACAACAGCTTAACACAAGGGATTACTAATTCAACACATTCATGCCATTACACATGCTCAAAAACGTTCAAACTGGCCAAAACGAACAATGTTCATAACAACAAGCCAAACTCATCATAAGAACACTAAAACAACAGCTTAACGCATTCATGCCATTACACATGCTCAAAAACGTTCAAACTCGCCAAAACAAACACTTTTCATAACAACAAGCCAAACTCATCAAAAGAACACTAAAACAACAACTTACGCATTCATGCCATTACACATGCTCAAAAACGTTCAAACTCGCCAAAACAAACACTTTTCATAACAACAAGCCAAACTCATCAAAAGAACACTAAATAAACAGCTTAACGCATTCATGCCATTACACATGCTCAGAATCGTTCAAACTGGCCAAAACAAACACTTTTCATAACAACAAGCCAAACTCATCAAAAGAACACTAAAACAACAGCTTAACGGATTCATGCCATTACACATGCACAAAATCGTTCAAACTCGCCAAAACAAACACTTTTCATAACAACAAGCCAAACTCATCAAAAGAACACTAAAACAACAGCTTAACGCATTCATGCCATTACACATGCTAAAAAACCTTCAAACTGGCCAAAACGAACAATGTTCATAACAACAAGCCAAACTCATCAAAAGAACACTTAAACAACAGCTTAACGCATTCATGCCATTACACACGCTCAAAAACCTTCAAACTGGCCAAAACGAACAATGTTCATAACAACAAGCCAAACTCATCATAAGAACACTAAAACAACAGCTTAACGCATTCATGCCATTACACATGCTCAAAAACGTTCAAAGTCGCCAAAACAAACACTTTTCACAACAACAAGCCAAACTCATCAAAAGAACACCAAAACAACGGCTTAACAAAAGGGATTACTAATTCAACACATTCATGCCATTACACATGCTCAAAAACCTTCAAACTGGCCAAAACGAACAATGTTCATAACAACAAGCCAAACTCATCAAAAGAACACTAAAACAACAGCTTAACGCATTCATGCCATTACACATGCTCAAAAACTTTCAAACTCGCCAAAATAAACACTTTTCATAACAACAAGCCAAACTCATCAAAAGAACACTAAAACAACGGCTTAACACATGGGATTACTAATTCAACACATTAACGCCATTACACATGCTCAAAAACGTTCAAACTGGCCAAAACGAACAATGTTCATAACAACAAGCCAAACTCAACAAAAGAACACTAAAACAACAGCTTAACGCATTCATGCCATTACACATGCTCAAAAACGTTCAAACTCGCCAAAACAAACACTTTTCACAACAACAAGCCAAACTCATCAAAAGAACACTAAAACAACAGCTTAACACAAGGGATTACTAATTCAACACATTCATGCCATTACACATGCTCAAAAACGTTCAAACTCGCCAAAACAAACACTTTTCATAACAACAAGCCAAACTCATCAAAAGAACACTAAAACAACGGCTTAACACAAGGGATTACTAATTCAACACATTCATGCCATTACACATGCTAAAAACCTTCAAACTGGCCAAAACGAACAATGTTCATAACAACAAGCCAAACTCATCAAAAGAACACTAAAACAACAGCTTAACGCATTCATGCCATTACACATGATCAAAAACGTTCAAATTCGCCAAAACAAACACTTTTCATAACAACAAGCCAAACTCATCAAAAGAACACTAAAACAACAGTTTAACACAAGGGATTACTAATTCAACACATTCCTGCCATTACACATGCTCAAAAACGTTCAAACTGGCCAAAACGAACAATGTTCATAACAACAAGCCAAACTCATCATAAGAACACTAAAATAACAGCTTAACGCATTCATGCCATTACACATGCTCAAAAACGTTCAAACTCGCCAAAACAAACACTTTTCATAACAACAAGCCAAACTCATCAAAAGAACACTAAAACAACAGCTTAACGCATTCATGCCATTACACATGCTCAAAAACGTTCAAACTCGCCAAAACAAACACTTTTCATAACAACAAGCCAAACTCATCAAAAGAACACTAAATAAACAGCTTAACGCATTCATGCCATTACACATGCTCAGAATCGTTCAAACTGGCCAAAACAAACACTTTTCATAACAACAAGCCAAACTCATCAAAAGAACACTAAAACAACAGCTTAACGGATTCATGCCATTACACATGCACAAAAACGTTCATACTCTCCAAAACAAACACTTTTCATAACAACAAGCCAAACTCATCAAAAGAACACTAAAACAACAGCTTAACGCATTCATGCCATTACACATGCTCAAAAACCTTCAAACTGGCCAAAACGAACAATGTTCATAACAACAAGCCAAACTCATCATAAGAACACTAAAACAACAGCTTAACGCATTCATGCCATAACACATGCTCAAAAACGTTCAAACTCGCCAAAACAAACACTTTTCATAACAACAAGCCAAACTCATCAAAAGAACACTAAAACAACGGCTTAACACAAGGGATTACTAATTCAACACATTCATGCCATTACACATGCTCAAAAACCTTCAAACTGGCCAAAACGAACAATGTTCATAGCAACAAGCCAAACTCATCAAAAGAACACTAAAACAACAGCTTAACACATCCATGCCATTACACATGCTCAAAAACGTTCAAACTCGCCAAAACAAACACTTTTCATAACAACAAGCAACACTCGTCAAAAGAACACTAAAACAACAGCTTAACGCATTCATGCCATTACACATGCTCAAAAACGTTCAAATTCGCCAAAACGAACAATGTTCATAACAACAAGCCAAACTCATCAAAAGAACACTAAAACAACAGCTTAACGCATTCATGCCATTACACATGCTCAAAAACGTTCAAACTCGCCAAAACAAACACTTTTCATAACAACAAGCCAAACTCATCAAAAGAACACTAAATAAACAGCTTAACGCATTCATGCCATTACACATGCTCAGAATCGTTCAAACTGGCCAAAACAAACACTTTTCATAACAACAAGCCAAACTCATCAAAAGAACACTAAAACAACAGCTTAACGGATTCATGCCATTACACATGCACAAAAACGTTCATACTCTCCAAAACAAACACTTTTCATAACAACAAGCCAAACTCATCAAAAGAACACTAAAACAACAGCTTAACGCATTCATGCCATTACACATGCTAAAAAAACGTTCAAACTCGCTAAAACGAACAATGTTCATAACAACAAGCCAAACTCATCAAAAGAACACTAAAACAACAGCTTAACGCATTCATGCCATTACACATGCTCAAAAACCTTCAAACTGGCCAAAACGAACAATGTTCATAACAACAAGCCAAACTCATCATAAGAACACTAAAACAACAGCTTAACGCATTCATGCCATAACACATGCTCAAAAACGTTCAAACTCGCCAAAACAAACACTTTTCATAACAACAAGCCAAACTCATCAAAAGAACACTAAAACAACGGCTTAACACAAGGGATTACTAATTCAACACATTCATGCCATTACACATGCTCAAAAACCTTCAAACTGGCCAAAACGAACAATGTTCATAGCAACAAGCCAAACTCATCAAAAGAACACTAAAACAACAGCTTAACACATCCATGCCATTACACATGCTCAAAAACGTTCAAACTCGCCAAAACAAACACTTTTCATAACAACAAGCAACACTCGTCAAAAGAACACTAAAACAACAGCTTAACGCATTCATGCCATTACACATGCTCAAAAACGTTCAAATTCGCCAAAACGAACAATGTTCAAAACAACAAGCCAAACTCATCAAAAGAACACTAAAACAACAGCTTAACGCATTCATGCCATTACACATGCTCAAAAACGTTCAAACTCGCCAAAACAAACACTTTTCATAACAACAAGCCAAACTCATCAAAAGAACACTAAAACAACAGCTTAACGGATTCATGCCATTACACATGCACAAAAACGTTCAAACTGGCCAAAACGAACAATGTTCATAACAACAAGCCAAACTCATCATAAGAACACTAAAACAACAGCTTAACGCATTCATGCCATTACACATGCTCAAAAACGTTCAAACTCGCCAAAACAAACACTTTTCATAACAACAAGCCAAACTCATCAAAAGAACACTAAAACAACAGCTTAACGGATTCATGCCATTACACATGCACAAAAACGTTCAAACTGGCCAAAACGAACAATCTTCATAACAAAAAGCCACACTCGTCAAAAGAACACTAAAACAACAGCTTAACGCATTCATGCCATTACACATGCTAAAAAACCTTCAAACTGGCCAAAACGAACAATGTTCATAACAACAAGCCAAACTCAT